CTACTGCTTTTCTCTACTGTCTTTGGTCTCCAGAAATAAATTAGTAAAGGGATTCAAACAGATGAAAAAAAAATCTTCTTGAGTAGAGTAGTCTTGGCAGTAGACTTTATGAGGTGGTATATAACATCAGGAAAAAATAAATCCAGCAGACAGAAGTCTCCAGAGAGTAATAAACATAAACTCTGAAACTACTGCACATTTAAGTACCTGCCCATAGAAAACAAGATGGATGATTCTCTGGAGACCGACGCACAATGCCACTCACTGCTCTCAGTGACCAGAGTTAAAAGGAAGTTGAAAGGTCCTTGAGTGTGTGGAGTCACTGAAGTATTTATTTTATAGACTACAGAAACAGGCAAATTGCCGGCAGACACTAGGCAACGCATCCTTTCTCCAAAAGGACACTGACAGGTTTAAAGGCTGTAGTCAGTCCTCCAAGGTATGGTAAGGAAAAGGCTATGTCTTCTTTTGCTGCTCTTATATTGATAATTATTAAGAATTCTATCTCTTTTTGTGGCCAAAATATTAAATTGGTGATTCCACATGGATAGAAATGCATCGGGGGAGCCGAGCACAGCTCTCTCTAATATAATAATTTAGCCTTCACTGAAAATTCTACAGATGTTTACTTGAATTCTGTTAGCATAGTTTCACATGTACTCGTGAAACGATATTAGCTAATGATGGGAGATGTAACAATAGAAAGTGCTATCTGTATGGCTCTTTCCCCCTAAATTCTCAGTTTGTGTTGGGATTCATCTTTTTCATCTTTTTTTTTCCTATCTTTAAATGGAAACTGTCGACATAACTCACTTTTCTCATCAGTGGCTGAACGGTTACACTAAATAAACTTCAACATTCCTATCAATCAAAAATTCAGTTGCTTTAGGATACTGCACTGTCTGCTTTTTTTTTTTTTTTTTGGTACCAGGTACAGAACTCGGGCCCTTGTGCTTGTGAGGCAGGTGGCGGAACCACTGAGCCAAATTCCCAGCCTCCCCACTGTCTGCTTTTAGCCAGACCTTAGTGATTTTTGCTATTGAAGAGCCAGAAAGAGTTTCTGATTCCTGGCCCTCAAAATGCCCAAGGCTGGAGAGGACCCAGAAGTGTCACCTGCACTATCTAGAGAAAAACATACGTATTGTGTCCACTTCTTGGCATCAGAGTCTGGGGTACATCCTTTCCCACTAGTTATTGCTTGCTATACGTAAGGAAAGGGAGAGAAAGGAGAAGGATTAAGAGCAGAGTGAGTAAGCTTTTCCTGAAAAGGACCAGATAGCAAATATCTTAGGTTTTTTGAGCCACATGTCCTCACTTGCATTATTACTCTGCTCTGCAGTTGTTAGTGTAAGTGCAGCCACATCTTGTTAAAGGAATCAGTGTGGCTGTGTTCTAATAAAACTTTATTTACAAAAAGAGGTGCTGGGCCAGATTTGGCCCACAAGCCATACCATATTTTGCTAACTGTTGACTTAGAGTACTACAAAGGGCAGCAATGCGATTTCCACTCTCATCTAATGAGACAATGATAATTCTGTTCCATAGTTGATTCCCCGGAAAGGTTTTCAGTGTATGTTTCCTCGTACTCAACGCCTTGTAAGAAAGATCCCCTCATGAATACACTTTTATATTGCATTGACTGTGGATTTAATGGCTATCACTCAAAAATAAATTTAAAATACAGGGGACATATATGCATTTTTGTCTTTAAATACAAGAAATAAGCAAAAGACAAATGTTGCAGACAAAGCCATGTCACATATTTTAAAATTTCTTTGGCAGAACATTTGTAATGGTAATTTGCAATTGACAGTACCAAGAGAAAACAAGTTCAGTTTCATTGTTACTCCTATGCTGTAATTTGTATTAGGTAAAATGAGTATTAGTATTAGCTGATCAGGACAGCATTTGATCCGTGTCTTCTCTGTCTATTGTTGCTTGGTGGGAAACCATAGTTGAAAGAAAAACAATAGGAAATTAACCAGATACTCTTATCTGTGATGGATGTCTGGAGACTTTCACATTACTCTAAAATTCTAAGTTTGAGAACTTTCCCAGACCATCTCTCTTTTGCTGCAAAGCTTTGGGAAACACAGCAATGTGATATGCTCCAGTTTGAAAATAATGTTGCATAATAGTTCAGTCTCTTTAAGGATTTCAATAAAATCCATACGCTCTAGTTAAAAGAATTCAGACCCTTTAATGCATACTTACTTTTTCAATGTTTCTGAGAATAACTTTCCAACATCCAGTGCTTGAAAAAATGTTCATGGGATTTCTACAAAACTGCTGTTGGTGCTAAATTTTTTTCAATACTTAATTTTTTAATAGAGTTTTAGGGTCACAGCAAAATTGACAGGAAGATACAGAGATTTCCCACGACTTCAAAGTTTAAGAATTTTTTTTTAGTGAGTAAAACAATTTTAAAAATATAGTTTTCCTTTTTAATTAAAAATGTATAGCCCTACAAGTATGATGTGACAATGTTAACCAGTAACCTGTGTCGAACATACTACTAATCGAGGGACATATATTACAGAAAGCGGGGCTAATTTTCCTACGCCTTTGGGGTATCTGGGAATGAATGAACGAATGAGACTAGCTGTTGTTTTCCCCTGTTACTGAGAGCGCTTCTTTTTCATTTTGTTTTAGTGAGCTAGGTTGATTTGGTGGAATTAGTACTAGATTAGGCATTAGAAGGTCTGGAGTTTCATTTTAGCTTCACTGCCTCCTGGCTGGAAAATTGCTTATCTCTTCTCAGCTTCAATTCCTTCATTTGTAAAATGAAAAACTTGCCACATGCAGGTAGGGTTTGGTTACGTAGGCAATGAAAGGAAAGCATTTATAAGCAAAAGGTATTCCTGTGAGAGGGTTATGAAGTCTCTGGAGCAGGCCTTTGTCTTATTCCTTCGAACTTAAGAAAAAACGCATCAAACACTTAGCAGGCACCAGGGCCTTCTGCAAAGAAGTAGTTCAATAATTATTTGTCCATCAGACTGACTGAATGCCATATTTGATGATAAATAGAAACTAATCCGTTCACGAGGCAATAGAAAATGCAAGTCCCTACGAAACTGTGTCTATTTTTACATCTGATTTCTGAGAGGAAGAATTTGAAACCTGGCTTTCTGCTGTGACACTTTGCCTTCAACCTGGCTCAGTTCGCAGAGGTAGGGATTGTGACAAACATTGTTAGACTTGGGGAATTTCTTTTCCAGAAGCTAGAAGGCAATGCAGCCTTTGACACTGCTGAAAAGCTATAACAAGAACTTTTCAGAAATATCTGCTATGAAACACATTAGATCATGTGCAGTGTTTCCTATAACATATGCATCTTCTCACCTGGGATCATTAGATTTGGGATTACCAACACTGCATGTGGAAAAAACACTCTGCCATGTATGTTGTTCCAGAATATTGTGCTATATACAGTTATATACAGAGGTGCCTCGGTTACTTAATTCGTTCCCCGATTTGGGAAAAGACAGCCACATTCATGTTAATGCGGGAAAGATGGCAGCAGTTGTGTTTGTCACACAATTCACAAACAAAATTTTGCCAAAGGCTTCTGTTTGCAAACTAATTTGTTTGAAAACAAAAGCATCCATAAACCTGAGGTACCACAGTAGGTGTGCAGAGCGCACCGGGTGGCCCTCAAACTCTCACACAGTCATCAAGGGTTAGATTCCCAATCCATGAAGCCGATGGGTCCTGCCATCTGGGCACATAGTGTTGTGAGAATGAAGAATGAAAGATTGCAAACAAGCGTGTTTGCATTATGAGGGGAAAAGTGGTTTTGTTTTATGGCTAGTGTTTGTCAGTTAAACTGGTCTTCTGTGCAGGGCTTGAAAGCCAGGCCAAGCCTGTGCAGCAGTGACATCTGCCAATCCAGAGACCTGTCGCTACTTGACTCCCCAGGATCATGCAGCTACATGGACAATATGAAACGCAGCAGAAATATGGAGAGGTAGTAGGGAAAGGGCAATGATACTGACTTATGCTATATACAAAACATCGAGCTCAGCACATGGACCTTTAAGGATGATGTCTGAGAACCTTCTCACCACACAGTGGATTAACTAGCAGGTAACACAGCAGCCTGTCCGGCAGAAGGAGAGAACACAGTGAGGTACAAGTGGTGAAGGCAAGATGAGAATTCTGACTGCAGCTAGGAATGCGACAAGAGCTCAACAGTACTCCTGCAAAATATCTGCCCCAATACAACCGGCAAATTCTCTCCTAAAGGAAGAGGAATCCCTAACTAATGAGTGACCTTCCGAGGCTCAACCACACAAAACTCATTATTGCAGGCCAGAAAGAATCCAATTTCAACAATTTTACACTGGCATTATGCTTAGGCTTTGCTGTATAGAGATATTCATAAACACTTAAACACACCCCACACAAAGTTCATGGATTTCCTCTTCCCTGATTTTCCATGAATACTTTCTTGAAGATATGAGGGAAAAATGGCTTTCAAAGTTAATATTTGTAAAACCTTTCGCTTGTCTAAAAGGTTATCAGTTCAGTTACTTTCAAACCTGGTTATGCTTTCACATTAAAACATATCTTGAGGCCAGGGATGGTGGCACATGCCTACAATCTTAGCTACTCAGGAGGCTGAGACAGGAAGATCTCAAATTGAATGCCATGTTGGGGCATATGTGGGGGGCCCATCTCAAAACAGAGTACCACATAACGTGTGTTTTGGGTGCACATAGCTTATTCATTATTGAGGAATATCTGGACTTGCCACTTTTAAAATAAAACATACTTTAAAAATAAACTGAAATTGAGATGCAATCAAAAAGTTATCACAGGGGCCGGGGATTTAGCTCAGTTGTGTAGCTGTGCCTTGCAAGTAAGTGCAAGGACCAGAGTTTGAGGCCCGGTACCAAAAAAAAAAAAAAAAAAAAAAAAAACCCCCAAAAAACCAGTTATCATACAAAAGCAAACTACTGCCAGAAACTCAAATTGACTATGTTGATCTTACTCCTCAGCTCCTCCATCTGGGGTCGCTGCGTACGGTCGTCACATACCAGTTGAGTGACCAGCCAAAAGGGAAACCTAGTCAGAAGCCACATTGTTTATTCTCATTCCTAAAGGAAGCCACGCTTGGGAGATGAACAAACACCAGCTGCTGCCCAAGTCCACAGGCTGACCCTGGTGCTTTCATTCATTTCTGGCCACAGTACTGAGTTTGCACATTCTTTGTCTGTAAGTGCTGAATATATATATTAATTATATATAAATATAATATATCAGTATAATACTATATATAATTATATTACAATATAACCATTAACATATAATAATTATAACATAATTGTTATAGAATATAGAATATTGATATAGAATATATATTTCATAAATAAAGAGTTACAGATATCTGATAAGTATGTCTTAGTGAGTTTTAGGAAACTATCTCCTGATTATTTTAAAACAAGCCCACGATCAGTACGTACTTGTGAAACTTAGTCAAAATCCATAGAAACCATTGTTCCTCTTCCCCTGCTCTCCACACGTCCATGTCAACACTTGGGGAGATGCAGCCCCCCATGCGGCTCTTTCTTAAGGACGCTTTTGTTTCTTTTTAAAGTCCAACCTCTTGAGATTCCTTTCTTCACCATCCTACATTGTAATGATCTTTCTTTCTCTATGCTTTAGTGATTTTAAGTTTGCACTCGAATCTTAATAATAAAATAGCATAATGATTCCCCAATTCAGTGTTTCCAGACTGTTTTCAGTAGAATGCCAGCACCCCAAGAGATTTTTCTGTATCTGCCTCAAACCAGCATCTCTGTCAATCACACCGAGGGAACACTGCACTCAGTGACAGTCACTGGGCTCTTTTGTTGCAGGAATTCAGAGACATTTTCAACCCGTAATGCGAACAGCGCGGGTGCAGAAGAAACTGCAGTGTGTTGTTTACCTAAACCTTGGAGGGGGAACACTGTCCTGCTCACACTCTTAGGATAGCTTAAGGGATGCAATGTTTTTGAGAAACTGATGTGGAAAAAACCTAAGTTCCTGGAAGCACAGACCTTGTTTTTTATTGCTTTTGAGACCCCTGGGGATACCACAGTTCCAAAAACATCAAAGCACCCCATAAATATTTGTTTATATATTTCTTATAGTTGAAGGAAAATAAGAAGAAAGGAATGAAATATATTGAAAGATAGCTATGTATGAAGGGCTTTCAACATACATTTTCTCATTGATTCATTTATCTTTAATTAAATAAAGGGCCTCCTTCATTTTAGATGTACATCGTATAATTACATAAGGCCATTATCTTTCACTATACTGATAACGCTTAACCGAGGAAAGTTCTGGGGATGGATTATCAAATCACTGCAAGAACTTAAATACTTTAATGTCTAAAATGTTTACAGGGCAAGAAATATTTCTATCCTTATGAGGGCTATGAAAAGGAGGTGGGGGGAACAAACGCTAAGCTCAATACCATTGCACACACGGCAGTTCATTTTCTATGTATGAACAGAGTCTGGTGGAAAACTTCATAACTATCAGCTTGCTTTGTCACAGAGGAAGGGAACCTATGCTGAAATTTCATTCCATACAATGAAATGTGTAACAGAAGAAAATATTGCATCTTCTACATATATGTCTGTCCTTGTGTGTCTTCCTCTGACTTCTGCAAGACATTAAGCAAACCTGGTCTCGTACTTCACCTCATTCCTTCCCAAAGCAACGAGTCTTGGAGGATAATAGAGGCAGGTGCAGTGAAATCAGCTATTGGTAACTCCTGCCAATCATTTGGACAGCTGCTGAGTTACAGGGAAGTGCTAGGAGCCAGGCACAGTTCCTGTGGACTAAATTCTTCATCTGGGGCATTCGTTCCTACCCCACAGTATCTCTTTCCCCTGCCTCAAGCTGCAGCTGTATGTTTCAAATTGAACACAGTCAGGTTTCTGTCTACCTAATGCAAGTTCAGCTTTAATATAAATATTTGAGTGTCACCACAAATTTGAGGGAAAGGCACCTTTCAAAATACTGTTTTCCTTTTTATAATAAAAAGACTGAATAGAGTTTCTGATTCTATGCTCAGTGGAAATATTTGACTTCTTAACAAATATGCAACAGCTAATGAAGAAGGGAAATAGTATATTTATGAGATAATAACAAGAAGTTCCAGTAGGGTTTGGGATGACATTTCAAAGTAGTGCAGAAGCTGTCTGACTTCAGTAATTGGTGTCAGGGCCGCACAAGAAGAGAGTTTGTGGAGGGAATCATGCTCACTGGACCGGGTGGCTACACCAACCTCCATCTGATCTGGCACATGGCCCTAGGCAACCATTTAGTCGTCCCGGATGGAAATAGCATTTCTCTTCCATAAAACAGAGGTCAATCTATGTTGGCTGAAACATAGCTTTACATAACTTAAATCCATGCATCACTCCATGTAAAAGTGTGTTGCAGATCTCATGCCTAGACAAAGAGGGTTATTCTACACAAAGCACATTGGTAGGTGCTGCCAGCTCCCAAGCAACACAATTCAGTTGTAATTAACTCAGTTATGACATCTTCTTACAATTTTAAATGATGATTCCACATATAGCAAATGAAATCTTATTAGAAGCCCGATTGTTAAAAGTTTCAATTGAAAAACATAATAAACAAGGTGCTCCAGTGGGTAATGACTCTGGAGAATATGGGACCTTTTTTCTCTCCTGTAAAGTGATGGACACTTGAGGATGGCAGACAGAACAGCAATAAGAATGTCTGCTCAGATCACAGATTTCATATTCCCAACCATGCCACAATCGCTCATGACGAGATACTGGGGTGATGGCTCCAGGAAGGAAAACAAAAACAAAAACATAAAACCCAGAAGATACATCTCATTCTAGTTATTTGCAGTAGTTACATTCTGTAAAGTTGCAGCAAACACTGAATTAGCAACTGCCAAACTATTACTCCTCAGAAAAGTGCAGAGGCCGTCTTCTGCAAGCCTCTGGTCACAATAGTTTCATTAACTGGTCAACGCATAAGCTGTTTTATGTGTGTTTTGGTCTAGGGATACCTCATTCAGTGTGTTGTTGATTCATTAATGTTGGATGCACAGCCAACAGCATGCATTATAGCTTATACCTGCAAAAGCCTATCTACTCCATATGTATTTTCACAGCCTTGTTGTGCTTAAGAACAAAATACAGTGCTTAGTGTTTCCCTTAGGGGATCATTTCAAATAATGAGATTATTAAGAGAAACCACCAAAAATGTGAAAAACATGGCAGTAAATGGGTCTGGAAAGGGACGCATGTTTACCATGTGAGAACTGAAGTAAAAAGGCTGTCTTGCCTTATTCAAATTCAGTGGGAACCCACACATTAGGGAGTTACAGTTTTCATCTACCACAGTGTGAATGACCACAAAGATGTCATAAGTATTGATTTTCCTCTCATAAATTATTTTAGTGGTTTAACGAACTTGTACACATGAAACCCACAAGTAATGAGGACCACTTGTAAGTGTATGATGCATATAAATTTAAAGACGTGCAAATGCCTAAATACCATAACTTCTTTAAGAAGCAAATGATACTATTACCATTTTAATTTATGGAAAGTATGAGATTAAATAATGCATTCTTATATACCGAGTAAAGGAAATTAGTATTTATAGTTCCCATATAAATGATATCTTTCTATACCTTAATGCACAGTTTAACTGCAAAAAGTGGTTTGTTTTAGAATCAACATATAAACAGCTGCTATAGCAATAAAAACCATGTAGGCTGGAGGAGGCTTGTTCCTAATATTGATTAACACATTCCTAGGCCACATCCTTACAATAATACATAGGTAACTGCAGAGGTCACTAAGAGGAATGAATTGAGCACTTTAGACAATGTCATCATTCTTAATGTTTCACAGCTTACATTTAAAAGTCTATCAGGGCATCATCACAATTACTGAGTACACTGACTGAGTAAATACAAAACTGCCAAGCTACTCACTGACTGGAGAACTAACATAAAGGTAGCCAAGACAACATCACTGTGGTTCATTTAAGTATTCTTTTTAATTTTCAAATAGTGAGGATTCATGGGAACTCAGATAAGGCACTGAAACTCATTGTGGCCAACTTGACAAGAAACATAAGAAACTCTCTGTTTGAAAAATAAAAGCTGTGATCAGGAAGGTAGCCGCGTGGGTGCCCCTGAACCCTCATAACTCCCCTTACTCCCCCCGCCCCCCCGCACACTCTTAGACCTCCTGATTGTGCCAGTCTTTGGACCCACTCTGCAGAACCAGAGGTGGTCATAAAGGGTATTTTTCTGAGTTCCCAACTTTGAACATCTTTAAAGAAAGGGCGTGGGAAACCTGTAGTAGAACGGTGTAGAGTTCAACCATTCAGAAGGTTGGGGAACTCAATCTGGGCCTTGCAGCCCGAGGTCAGTCAGCATCATGGGGTTCAGCCATCAGCTAACTGAGATCAGGGGTCTTGTGTCCTAGCTCCGTCTGAGCCATTAAATGGTAAATATACTATATTGAAAAGTTTGTTCACTGTAGACATGTTCTGGACTGCTTCTGGATTTCAATTTAATTCAAATGGTTTAAGGGTGATAGACTAGTGACTACCACAGGTGGTCAGTTTCCAAGTTCTGTTTGATCTTAATGTGTTGCTGATTGTATCAGTTGGGATAAAGCATTGCTGTTGATTTGATGAGCTGTTTTCTCTGATGTTATGAAGATGAGAATGTCTGTGGGTCATTAGAGACACAGAAGCTAGGGCGCAACTATCCAAGGACAGCCTGACAACAAAAATAAAAATGAGAAAACACTTAAGCAAGACACAAAGACAGACTTCCAGTTAACCAATGGCAAACAGTAGGGCAAATGAGGATGAAAAGGCCGATAGTGAACGACCAGCACACCCTGAACTCAAAGCACAGGAAATAACAAAACAGATCAATCAGGCTCTAGAAAAATTCAAAACAGAAATAATTTTCCAGATAATCATAGAGATAGTGAGCAAAATGGAAGTCATGATTCGAGACTCTAGAGCAGAAACTGACAAAAAAATAGATGAGCTCAGGACCACGATAGAAGCCATGAAGGCCCAGCATAAGAAAGAAATGGAAAAAATAAATGCCCAACATAGGAAAGAAATGGAATCCATAAAACAGATTCAAACAGATATCCAGGAGATTAAACACTC